GGGTTGGGGGTTTAGGGTTGAGGGTTAAGGGTTGAGGGTTGAGGGTTTAGGGTGTAGGGATTAGGGAGGGTTTAGGGTTTAGGAGGGTTTAGGGTCTAAGTCTAGGCTTTAGGGTTTAGGGATTCTGGGCTTAGGGTGTAGGGGTTTTGGGGTTTAGGGTTTAGGGTTTAGAATTTGGAGAGTTGAAAACAAGAGCACTATTGAAAGAATGGTCCTGTCAGCAACAGTCGTGACAGTATTTTGTGGGCAAACAACACCAGCATAGCTGGCAAGTGATGCAGCGCTAGCACGGCTAGCGCTGCATTTGCTTTGTCGCCCGGACAGGTGGGAAATCCAGAAAGTGAGAGACCCGAATATGGACTCCAAACATTGGCCTCCAGACTACAAGGACCCTTGAAAAGGCCATGCAGAAGTTTGTTTCAAAGCCCCAACTAAGGAAGCTCTTGCAGGAGGGCAAGGCCAAGGCTATTGGGGTCTGCAACTACTCGATGCGACACTTGAAGGAGCTCTTTGAAAACTGTGAGGTTCGACCTATGGTCAACCAGGTGGAGTTTCACCCGCTTCTGGTGCAGGCCGAGCTACTCGAGTTCTGTGAACAAGAGGGTCTGGCTTTCCAGGCCTTCGCTTCTCTCGGCTCTGGGGACTCCCGACGTGCTCGGGACTTCTTTGCCCTCTCGGGGGTGCAGGCTGCGGCGAGGGCTCACGGGGCCACACCTGCAGCGGTGCTGCTGCGCTGGGCCACGCAGAAGGGCTGCCACATCATCCCAAAGTCTTCGGACCCCGGTCGCATGAAGCAAAACGCCACAATCTTCGGCTTCCACCTCACAGATGAAGAGTTGGAGGCCATTGATGCTTCGCACGTCAATGCTCGCCTGACATGGGGAGGCACGGATCCGGACCGCATCGGATGAGCCACGGGACGTCCACTCATCTCAAAAAGGCGTGTGTACATCCGAAACGCAAAAGCCCTGCCAGAGTGTTGTAGTTAGGGCTTTCGGATCTTCTGGCTTACTACGAGTGTTATTGTTGCCACGAATAATTTTTGTTAGTGTGGTGGTTGAATAAACAGAAGGGGGAAACATGAGTATTATTACCATCACGATTGCTTGTTCTATGTTGTTTGTATTCTATCTCAGGTGTTGCAACCAGGTATCTCCGAGGCTGTCTGCAGTTCTTCGCCACATCGAAAACCCAGGGATGGGTGGTTGTCAAAACTACTGTTGATGTAAATCCTGCCTTACCTTGAGGACCCTAAACTATTGGAATTATGGTATATTGTTTCTTATGGGTAATGCAGGATGTATATCATCAGCCGTAGGCCTCTTTTGGGTCCCCAAACTGGGTGCCATACTAAGCGTAGACTTATATAGGGCTCCCCAAAAGTGGCCCTGATTTTGACAGATACCCGGATGTTTTGTTAAAGCTGGCCCTCGGCCAGATCCAGACCACAATGTTTAGTGTTTGTAGGGTCTAGTTTTGTAAACGGGTTTCAGAAGAGCTTTGCAGGGGTTATACGGCCCCTCACGCCCGCTTGCCCCATGTTACGCTCCCTTCGTGACATTGTTGGAATCCGTCAAGTAACCACGCTTCGCACCCTTGATTTCTAAACCCATTTTCTTTCTTCAATTCTGAAAATTAGGATGTATATTAGGGTTTATACTATACACTTTACCTAGGTGAGGAAGTTTATCAATCTCCTCGGTCCGCATGATGTGGGTGGTGGTATGGTCCGCAGGTGATTTGTCGCATAAGATGCTTCTGTTTCTCAGAGTCTGTGGCAGGCACATCGGAGACAATCTTATGATGCACGAGGATCCAGAGAGGCAAATGTCTCTGCGTCTCTTCGTGTACAGCTTCTCGTCATGATTTGAAGAACTTCCGTACTTATCCCGAAACCCGAACCCATGTAGTACTCCTAAAACTAGCCCGAAAAACCCTTTACCTTCGGGATGGACCTTGTCTGTCTGAGAATTGTGGCGGATCTTTGCAGCACCGTTACGGAAGGTCTATGTTCTTTGCGAACAGCTGTATGAGCCTCCGTATGTTTTTACAAGGTGCTATGAGGGTTGCGAGGTGACATGGAGGGACTAGTGACAGATCTTGTAAATCCCGGAACCCAAGACCCTAAACCCTCTGAATGCGATGCAATCGGTGTTTGGAGTGAACCTCAAGGGCCTGACACCAAGTTGCAGAACGTTTTGAAGCTGCGAAATGGGGTTTAGGCTAAAACTACCATAACCTACTTTTTTTGTGGGTTCTGATTAAGAAACCCAAAACTAGACAGCAAAGGAACCCTAGGGAAAAGTAGGTGTTGGCAGTGCCAGGTAGAGGATTTAAGGCTTGCTGAGAAACTGGGGACAAGTCTCAAGCCGCGCACCGTAAGCGCAGCCCAAGGCGTCAAATGCTTTACATCCGTAGTTCTTACGAGTACAATATCATGTAATAATACCATGTAGGGTAAGACAAGACGAGACAAGATAGGATAAGACCCGGCAAGATAAACAAAGAACACAACAGACAATACCGAAAACACAAACAAGACCAACAATAATAGTAATAGACATAGTCAAAGTAATTGTAAGAGTATGAATAGACCCGATGCCATGAGTCATAGAAAGCCCAATACCCTAAACCCTAAACTTTAAGCCCCTAACCCCGAGACCTTTGGCCCACAACCCCCAAACCCAAATAGCCGTGGACCCTGCAGTGACGTCGGCCAGCTCGGTCCTCCAACTCTGAGCTTGGGTTCTGGTGGAGGAGCTTTCAGCTTAAGTGAGGTTGTGGGGGTCGGAATAATTAACAATATTGTCCCCATAGAGCCCCTATATCATTGAGTTAGAATATACCCCATATCCTATTGTAACTATCAGGGCCCCTACGTTACCATGCTAAACCCTGATACGGTAGATTGCATTAAGTTCCTGATCCCTAGATCCTGGACCTTATGTCTGTACAAAACCCTGTCACACCCTAAGACGTGTAATTTTTTCTTTTATGCTTAACCTGCATATGAACCCTATCAACGCTTGCAAATCCGCTATAAACCCACTACGTGCCTGGATACAGCCCTGATGTGAACCCTTGTAAAATCGTTAGAACCCCATCAAACCCTAACACCTTTCTGAATGACGCAGCGCGTCATCTTTGTCTTGGCGCAGCCGTTCATCTTGATCTCTCTAAACCCTGCAAAACCCAAGCTTCTACCCTTACAAAACCGTGCATTGGCCCCAAACCCGAAGCCCTAAACCCCAAAACCAAGAGCCAAACCAAAAACCTTAACCCTAAACCTTAAACCCTAAACCCTTACAAAGCCGTTCGTCGGACCCAGGACAGGGGATTGCAGCACCGGCGGGGCTCTCAGAGATTCATAAAGACTGGTGGATGGCAGCCATCCTCAAAATATTTTTGTTGTTTGAGATGTTTAGGGTTTTGTTTTTTCTGTTTTTTTTGGGGGGGAGGTTTGGGGTGTTGGGGTTTGGGGAGGTTTAGAGGTTTGGGGTTTAGCGTTGTTTTGGGGTTTGGGGATGTTTTGGGGGTTTTGGGTTTAAGGTTTAGCATGAGGTTGAGTCGTTGGGTTTAGGGTAATTGGGCTTGTGGCGTGCGCGACGGTAGAGTCAGGGCGGGAGAATGAAGCACCCCGGGAGGGTTGGAGAGGATTCAGGGTTTAGGGTTTAGGGTATAAGGGGCATTCAGGGTGTCGGCTTTCGGGTTTTCAGGATTTAGAGGGCTTTGGATTTTTCAGAGTTCCGAAGGGTTGAAGACAGATCTAGGCCGAGAGCTGTGGTTTTGGGGTTCAGGGTTTAGAGGTTGGGGTTTGAGGTCTAGGGTTGTGGTGTTTATGTTTTACGGCTTGGGGTTTGGGGTTTGGGTTGTAAGTTTGGGGTTTACGATTCGCGATCTGGCGTTCAGGATGTGAGGCCTGGTGCTTGGTCATGTGGGTCAACTGGAGGCTTCCCGATGAGACACACCTTAAGCAACGATAACCTTTTATGTAGGTCCTTACTATAAACCCTAGTGCGGATTTTGTTTTAAATGTAGGTCCTTTTCATAAACCCTAATACAGATTTTTTTTTATCATAAACCCTAATACAGATTTTTTTTATCATAAACCCTAATACAGATTTTTTTGATGTTGGTCCTTATTATAAGCCCTCATGCCGAATTCATGGGGGACCCTGCAGTTGTGGCAGTTCGCGGGTTTTTGCTGCTTCGTCCCATGGGCAGCGAGGGCTCGGGTGCGGCTGTAGCCACAGGCCCTGAGCCCCACACCCGAATCCCTAAGTCCAAAACCCCCCAAAGCCTAAAAACCCCAATCTCTAAACCCCAAAACCTAAACATCCTAAGCCCTAAACCCCAAACCCTAAATCCTTGATCCCTAAGCCGTAGTTGCTCTTCTGCAAAGCTTGGAATTTTTGGAGAATGGAGACGCTGCTTAGCACGCCTCTGTAGACCGGGGATGCTAATGTTTAGGGTTTAGGGTAAAATGCGGTGGCTTATTACGCAGAGTCTTCGTTAAGTCTTTGCGAAACGCCATGCATTCTTTATCCCACCATCGGCAGTCTGCTCGATGTAGTCGCAGAGGCATGATGTGCCATGGAGCCACTAAACTACTAAACCCTACAGGTGAACCCGAAATCTTAAAGCCTAAAGCCCAAACCCTAAGCCAAATCCCTCAACCAAACACTCAATTTCGGAGCTTTGGTCCTTAGGGTTTAAGCTAGAATATCCCAGGCACTCCTCAAGTTGCTTGTGCTCTTGCAGCTATAAATATGAAAACCAACAAGACTAGCTTTGTATATATGTACACATAGAGAGATCTGATCTATCTAGCTGTCGGTCTATCTATTTATCTATCTACCTGTCTATCTATTTATCTATCTATTTGTCTATCACATCCACTTATCTATCTATCTATCTATCTAGCTATCTGTTTATCTAGACTACTAAAAATAGTTGAACTTATCGTTGTTACTGCTTTAAACATGAGCCTCGAATCGTCCAGACGAACTCCTTTTCACATACGCCAAATCCTATTATGGTTATTCAGGCCCCTAGATAAGGCAGTTTCCATGAGAAGCCATACTATCTACGGCCACGTAGCTATCCCGAGCGACGACGGATGGCGTCGCTTGCCGCGAAACCGGAGCCGCCGGGCGATAGCAACGATGTACGGAGTCTAGACGCTTGGCAGCACGTTACACATGTTCTGACGACGATTCAGGCATTTGCAGCTTCTCTATAAGGGCTACTATAAGGGTTTAGTATAGGGGCTTTACTCATTCAAGCAGGTTTTGGGGGGTAGATTACTTATACTGTAGTTCCCAAAATAGTATTGGTATTGAATTGGGTCCCTATATCACGCCCCACATCCTCAACCTAGGGACGGGCCAACACCACTCCGGCGCCTTCGGTGCGAGAAGGAGCTGACTGCATTGACGACTTTGTAGCGGCTAGGGTGGAGTTGAATTCCTTCGCCCTAAGTCCTTAAACCCTAAACCCTAAACTCTAAACCCTAAACCTCAATCACGAAACAGCATGCACCAACAACCAGTCCCTGCACCCTCGGCTCTAGGCTCCTGGGGCCTAGGTCATTTCGGCAAGGCAGCATGTTGCATGGTTGCGTCACTCGGTGCGGGCCTGGGGGTATGACCTTAAGTTTTGGGTTAAAGGTTCAGGTACACGGGGAAGAGTCTAGAGGTTTAGGGTTTAGGGTTTGGGGATATGTTGACTTGTGTCTCAAGATTGATGCCCGTCCTACGATAGAATCACGGCTCTAGCCACGCTGTCACATACAAGCCAGTCTAAGTGTAGCTTTGGCTGCGGAGGATTATGTGGCGCAGGGCTCGGGCATAGATTTTCGTGTTGCTGGCTTCAGCGCTCAAGGGTTTAGGGGTGTACTCCTCTACTTGTC